AGTTATGACAGAAATAACACTATGCAGAGTAGTAGCAGAGCAGGAACACGGAGCAGCAGGAAACTCCCAATCACAGATCCAGACTCCACAGCTCTAGGAACACCTGCAGGAAGTGATAGGAGGAGACTCCTATCCCTCCTATGATTTTGATGATTAATAGTTTCTTTGTGTTTTCTATTGTAATTCTCAAGTCGTAACAACCCGAAGTGATCCTGAAAAGTTTAACATCTCAAGGCTTGCTGGGTCCAACAAAAGTAATTGTTTAAAAACAGAAATGTCTTTGTGCCTTCTTTAATTCCCTGTACATTTCCATATTAAGTCTTGCCTCAGAGGAGTGAATTCACAACCCACGGGTTAGCTGATTGAAACTATTTCATTTCTGAAAACCAATTTGAATATTTGTCCATAGTAAACTGAATTTTGTAGTAAATGTGAAAAAAACAATCTTGTAGCTTATAAATAAGAGTTAATTTTTTAATGTTGTGATATTAATACTTTCCATTGTTCTTATAAATAATCAATAATTATGATTATTATTCTTCCTATTGTTATGAGGCATCTGAAAACTTTACCCCTTTTCAAAATCAGGTTATCATTGCTATTGCCATTTGTCAATAGTCACTGAGTGGAGATTTATAAATGGTTAGAATCGGTCTTTATAATTATATATGTACATGTATAAAATTTGGGAGATATCAACTTTGGCATGCTTAGTGCTTGGTAGAATTGTTCAAAAGTAATTGAAAAATTATATGTAGGCTTCTTATTTTCTTTCAGTTTTTCTGAAGATGATTAATTCTCTCTGTAAATATTCATAAATGTTGCAACAAACAGAAGAAGTAACTCTTGTTGGTGTGGGAATGGAGTGGTGGTGGTGGGGGGGGGGGGGGTGTTACTATTATTTTTGTTTTTTTTTGTTCATTAATTCCATGAATGCTTAAGTTGATATCAGATCCATTGAATAAACAGTATAAATTTACTTGAAGATTCTTCTAGTTTTTATTGTTATTTCCGAAAATTTTGCTTCCAATATTGTAACTGGTCTGCTATGTGATAAAATTCACACCACTTTAAATAGTTATTAATTAACCAGACACAAAGGGATATCTTTCTATTAGAGTTTTTCAATTTAAAATTCAAAGAATTGCAGTTTTCATGTGCAATAAATATATATTTTGGGAAATTGCGAAATTGTTAAAAAGTGTATGTTTTCATTTAGAATAACTCCGTACTTAAAGCACGCAGAACATTGCCGCTTTAGAAGCTCAGAGTAAGTATGAATGTCTGTGGGAATAAAAAATTTGAGTACAATCGCATAAATAATAAAAAAGTTACAAGGGTTTGAAAATGGTAGAAGACCCAAAATCGTCACTTTTTGGGGTAAACTGCCACCTTTGTCACCCATTTTCTCAAATACTGGCAGGAATCCCATGGAGAACTTTTTTTCCCAGCTCCAGTACATATTCAAGATTGGAAAAGTGCTATCAAAAGTAGTCCCCAGGTTAGTGGAGCGAAATCCTATTTCTAGCCACATTTTGAGCTTCAGCCTATGGCCTATATTGTAACTGGTTTGCTAGGTGATAAAATTCACACCACTTTTCATAGTTATTAGTTAACCAGACACAAAGGGATATCTTGCTATTAGAATTTTTCAATTGAAAATTCAAAGAATTGCAGTTTTCATGTGCAATAAAGATACATTTTGGGAGATTGTGAAGTTGTTCAAAACTGTATGTTTTCATTTAGAATAACTCCGTACTTAATGCACGCAGAACATTGCCGCTTTAGAAGCTCAGAGTAAGTATGAATGTCTGTGGGAATAAAAAATTTGAGTAC